AGTCAATCCAGGAGAGAAACTAATGACCATAAAGAGCAGAGGGGGAACTGCATGTGGTGGTGTGCACCTTTAATCCCCACACTCAGAAGCCAGAGGCAGGCAGATTGCTACGAGATCAAAGTGAGCCTGGGATGGTCTACGCGGTGAGTTTCAGGCGTGTTGGTGTTACACAGTGAGACCCTGTCTCAAACCAAACAAAAAAAATATAAAAGGATAGACATTGTCCAGTTACAAAATTCAGTGAGAAGGCAATAAACTTGTTGGAATACGGAAAACCTGCACTCCAAAGATAGGCAAATAGCGCGTATCTGTTAGGTTTGTTAAAGATGAGATAGTTTGCATAATACATATGAAGTCCTTTCTTGGTTAGTGGTGAGTTTGAAGGTATTAATTTTATAAGGATATGATAAAAACACTTTGTAAGTCGTGATAGCCTGCATGAACACCTCAGTGAAAGATGATCATCAGGAAGCAGTGGAGGCATGCCTTTAAAGAGCCATCTTGTGTGTGTTCTGTGCTCCTCAGAGTGAACGCTCCAAAGGGCTTCCATGGTCAGCAGCCCAAGCCTTCCATCTCTGGCAGAATCTGGTGCAGATGTGAGTAATGGAATTGCCATTGTTGCTGCCCTACAGATTAATCATTATTTAATTGGAGGGTTCTAAGCATCCTTGTCTTAATGTCAAAGTGTTAAAAGCCAGGTACACTGTCAAAAGTTCCCTAAATGGAATTCTGGAGGTTTGGGCTCTGGCTAATTAAATCTGGATGGGATGTTAGAGATCTTAATACACATTACCCTTGTACTGTGTGCTTCGTGTGTTCTCCACATTAACGAATCAATAAACCAATCTAGATGGCAACAGAGAATAGGCCCAATCCCAGACAGATGATAAGATCTGGTGGCGTGTATGAGTCATTCACAAAAATTGCCAAGTATCCAGAAATAAGAATTTGGAGTAGATAAGAAATTGTCAAGGTTTAGTAATTTATATAGTAGGTAATGATGATACATTATTCTTTGTCAATTGCAATTTTAAAATCTGTTCTGTTCAAAGAAAATGTGACAGGCTCTACCATACATAAAAGGTTTCCATGTGTTCTGTACTTCTCAGAGTGGGTGCTCTGGTGAGGACTGGTTCCTGCTTCCACTGTCAGCAGCTCAGACCTTGCATCTCTGTGCAGACTTTGCTGCAGATGTGAGTAACTCAATATTCTCATCTTTGTTGACATGACAACACTATTAATCAGTAGTACAAAATCAAGAGTTCCACTTGTCCTGGTGTTAATATCAGAGTTTTAGAAGCAGTGTAGACTGTTCCCTAAATGAAATCCTGTTGTCAACAGCCAAGAGATTTTATCTCTAATAGAATGTGTTAAGGATTTTATCACACATTATTCTTGTATTGTGTGATCTATGTGATTTCCACGTTAACTAATCAATAAACCAATCAGAGAAAGGGGGCCAATCCCAGGCCAACCCCAGACCGATGATGAGATCTGGTGGCGTGTGTGAGTCATTCACAAAAATCGCCAAGTATCCAGAAATCTGAGGTCACACTGGTAGTAATTTCATCCACCCCACCTTTGATTGTGTCCTATGGGTGGATATCAGGATATAGAACATCTCATTTGTGATGTTTCCCTTCATTCACATTATTGTAAAAATAATCAAGGCAGCATGATAGACATTTCTCTGTACAAAACGGAGATGAAGACGGTAAAGATAAAATGCCTAGTAAGGAAAATATGTATTAGATACTTGATAGTGTGTTTTAAAAATCTGGAGCAGATAAGAAATTGACCAGATTCATTAAATCTTAGAGCAAAAAGTGATGAGACGTTATTCTTTTTTCTTATTTTGGTCTTAAAAAAAAACTGAGACATTATTCTTTATCAAATGAAGTTTTAAAGTCTGCTTTCTTTAAAGAAAATGCAGCAAACACTCCCATACATAAAAGGCTCTATGTCAAGCCAGTGAGTGTGTGATGCCTGGGTCAGTGGGACAGACCGCCTCCGTGTTTTCATCCCCTTCTCTGTGTGACTTCTCAGAATTCAGGAACCAAACTGATGAGGGGGTGTGCTGTGATGGAGACTTCGTGGAAATCAGTGTTAGCACGGAGCTGTCCGTGAGTAACAACCAAGATTCTCATTTTCCTTTACACACTTGGATATTTGTATTCACAATAGTAATAAGATATTTGTTTCTACACAGTACGGAAAACACATTTCTTGATGGTTTTGATTCTAAAAGCAAAGGACTCAAAGGAGCGTGGACATAGGCCATTGATATTTCCTTTTGGTTTATGTTTAAGTGATGGGTATCTGCATTCATGGGTAATGGTGTGGTGTTTCAGTCTATGCATTGCATGGTGTATCTGCATCGCTGATACTTTTAGTCTAACTCAAACATTCACTACTCTCTGTAAAGTTTTGAGCTACTTAGTATCGGTAACTGTTGGCATAGCGCTGTTAGTACTCAGCCCTGCAACTGAGCGTCTTCAGTTTTCAGAACTGCACGTTAAATCACAGTCCTACTGTTCTCTCTTCTCCCTGGCTGTCTGATTAAGTATCATGTAGAGCTCGCTCTCTCTGTACGTATTGTTGCAAATGATCAGATAATATTCATTATTTTTCACGTCTAAATAGTATTTGAGAAGGTGTTTATACCAAGAATATATAAGGAAATTTTTTCAAAAATGGAAATGGAGCAAATCAAGTAATTGGCATAAAATAGTAACAATCAGGTATATAGAGATTAGAAACACGTGTGCAAACATCTTAATGTCAATTGCATTAAAAATGAATTTTTCTTTTTTTTTTAATT